TTTTTTGTGAAATTAAACTTTCTTTCTCCAGGCACATACATTGACAAGAAATGCCCGTTCACCGGCAGTGTATCCATCAGAGGCCGTATTCTTGCAGGGACCTGCCACAGTGCCAAGATGATAAGAACTATCATTGTTCGGCGTAACTATCTTCATTGGGTGAAGAAGTACCAAAGGTATGATTTATTCTGTTCAGGATTTTGCTATTTTCTCATGGTGGTTTGTCTAATTGTTTCGTGTTGATGTATAGATATGAGAAGAGGCATTCAAATATTGCTGCACACATATCTCCCTGCTTCCGTGTTAAGGAGGGTGACCATGTCATAATCGGCCAATGCAGGCTAGTATCTCATCATATTTTATTATTAATTTTCACGTGTTGTGAAAGTGTAGCACTTTTTTTATGACATCATTCTATGACCTTTCAGGCCCTTGTCAAAAACGGTGAGGTTCAATGTCCTGAAGGTCATTCCGGCTGGTTCTTCGGGTCGTGGGAAGAAGGCTTTCACTGGAATGTGAGTTTGGGAATTGGGACGTTTCATTTTAATTGTCAGCTGGTTTTGAAAGGAAGGGTTTAGAACGTTTGTTGTTTCAGTTGGATGGTATTACTAAGACTGCCTCGATTGTTCTTGTTTTGAAGTTTTGTGCATTTTAAAAACTATATTATGTGCCCTTCTATTTAGATATTTCTCAAATTTTGAAGGAGTTTCATTTGTAAGAGGTCAACTTCTCATTATTTAGTTTGACGTTTAGCTCGTTGATGTGAGCTTTAAGATATTTCTTGCTCTTACTGAATTATATGGTCTGCACTTAGATTATGGTGCCAATCTGGATAGAAAGCTTGGACATCAAATTCAAAAATGAATCAACAAATGCTCTGCCAGGGCTTTAGAAATCAGTCAATTTGGTGAACATAATTTGTGAAGTGCATTATAATGATTTGGTTGACTTTCGACCAAATGATGTCTGTGCAAAGTTCATATTACTAGAGTAGGGTTGGGATAAATTTTGAGCAAATTTTTTTCATCTCCCGGCCTGAAAATTGCATTAAGTTTTTTCACGATGCTAGGTAACAATCTAATTTTTCATCTCGAAAAAATTGAAGGTTATTCGAATGGTTCGATTAATTGTCACATATCAATTGCATAATTGTCTCATATCTGTTAATTGTCACATATCAATTCCATAATTGTCTCATATCAGTTGTATTATTGTCGTATATTCACATTAGAATTTGCGGAGGGTTATGTGAATGGTATTGCATTTTAACTTTCGCACAATGTCAATCGTGCAATTGCCGCATAATTATCAGTTGCACAAATGTCGCCTATTCACATAAGAAGTGCGAAATGTTATGTGAATGGCTTCGCATTTTCAACTTTTGCATAATATCAATCGCACAATTCTTGCATAATTACTGCATAATAATTTTCTATGATGAACTTGGATGGATGGTTGCTTGGAAAATGCCACGCGATTTAATAAAATTGGAAGTGCACATCACATATCATATTCATTTGACTTCTTAGTAAATATAGCAGTTAGACAGTGGAATTGTGATGTGATATATAACCAAACACCATATTCCGAGAATTGGATGCGCATTATCCATTGACGAGGACTTGGTCTTTGTGATGTTTTAGTCCCCATTGATGTAACTTACCCTCTCTAATTTATTTTATTATTATTATTATTATTATTATTATTATTATTATTATTATTATTATTATTATTATTATTATTATTTTTGTTTCTTGTATTATAAGTTTATGGGAAAATATTGAAATATATGGTCTGCCGGACAATTTTTTTATTTTGGACGGATGGATATAAATTTTTAATTCAAATTTCACTATTTATCTCATCCAACTTAATTCTTTTTAATATTATTGATATAACTAATAATATCATTTATTTACTACTACATATTTTTCAAGAAAAATCATTATTTATCAACTCACATAGTTTTAATTATCAATCATTTACCATTAATATTTTATTAGTATTAGAGCATCTGCATCAGCTTCATTTTCCAGCCGTTTAAACGCCCCCTGCGTTAATACAGATGCGGCTCATCCATTTAAAGGGAGGCCCACCACTTAGTTCAAAGGCTTTAACGCGTTCATTGCTCATTTTCTTTCTTTTCTTTTTTTTTTAAAAAACCTTATTTTATTATGCATGTGTAATCTTTTAAAAACCTTATTTTAAAAAAATAAATAAATTATTTTTTGTAATTGTACTATTTTTTCTTGTGTAATCTTAATGTAAGTTATTTTGTTCTTGTAGTGTTCTTTTATTTTCATGCATTTAAAATTTATTATTATAATTTAAAAATATTAAATTTTTATTTTTATTGAGAATAAAATATTAAAATTTATATTGAATGAATGGATATAATGCATGGGTCTCATATTTGTATTAAATGAATGTGTAGGGATGTGTAGGAATGTGAGTGTGTGTTTAAATGGAGAGGGAATTAGTGAAAAGATGATGTGAATAAGAGAGAGTGTAACTTTTTAATTAAATGAACGGAAAAAAATTAATGGATGTTGATGCCCTTATATAACATGAATTTTAATCATTACATTTTAAATCATATTGACTCACAAACACAAAATCAAATCCAAATCTCCACTCAATTAATTTTTTTCCGCCATTTACTTTATCCAATAAAATAAATTAAACCTAAAAAAATCCACCCTTAATTGCAATTGCAACGGGAGAAATTTGATTTGTTCATTGTACTAAGGTCATCTCCAACCAAAAAATTAATTCCCAAACTCATTTTGCCGTAACTGTCACATCAAACAGTAATTCATCTCCAACTGAAAAACTCATTCTCAAACACAAAAGAATATTCTCGGAAGACTCTTTTACATGAACTTTTACAACTTTTCAACACTGCCCATATATTTTACAACTTCACAAATTAAACCACACTATTATTTAAAATTCAATTTAGAATTTATGCTATAAAATTAATTATAATGGTATAGTTCTTATATATAATAAAACCAGATAAATAAATATTCATAAAAAAATAAAACTTACAATGCACAACATGGAAAATAAAAATACATTGAAATGAATATAAATCAATGATTCATACAAGTAAAAAATACATAGTATTTCAAGCCTCAGAATGGGTGAATTCCTCCCATATATGATCAATTAGTGCATTTTAAAGTAGAATGTGATCATCTTTAATTCTAATTTATTTTGTACGAGACATGAATTCTTGAAATCGAGTACTTTCATCTATTACTATTTCGACCTCCGGCGGCTGCGTTGCCATCTCATTTTTTATTGGCGCACTTCAGTCACGTTCATCCTCGACAATCATGTTATGCCAAATTATACATGTGGTTATTATATCATGTAACACTTCTATTTTCCAATAATGTACTAGTCCTGCTACAATGTCAAAACATGATGAAGAACTCCAAATGCGCGTTCAACATACTTCTTGATTCATTGCAAAATATATTTTATGCGGACCACGTGGCTCATGAATTGTTTGCACAATGGTAGACCATTTTGGATATATGCTATCAACTAAATAATAACCCATGTTGCATTCCTTTCTTTGAATTATATAATGAGATGGAGGAGCAACACCTTGAGTTAGATCTGAGAAAAGATGAGATGATTCTATCACGTTGATATAGTTGTTAGAGCCCGACAAGTCAAAATAAGCATGTCATATCCAAAGATCATAATCTGCTACAGCTTTAAGAATGATTGTAGGCTTACCACTACGACCAGCATATTGCCCAGCCTACGTTGTAGGACAATTTTTTTCATCTCTGCATGCAATCTAAACTCCCCAACATTCTTGGAACACCACGCTGATGACTAATATATAGAAGTCTAGAAATATAGTCAAATGTGGGTCTCCTTAGTTATCGCTCGCTAAATACCTCAACTATCGCCTGACAAAACCTTTTCATACTTTTAATTACACTAGACTCCAATTTTGACATGCTCATCCGTAGCACCTGCTGGAACACTGTATGCCAACATACGAAAGACAAAAAATATTTTTTATATTGAAGATAATCTAAATCTTCCAGCTCGATCCATTCATTGTTGGAAGTAGTGATCATGATCCTTGACTGCATCGTTAATTTGAAGGAACAACAAACGATACATTCGATATATTCTACGAAATATAGACTCCTTATTTAATGAATTATCAAAAAAATAATCATTGTACAACCTTCGATCAACAGCCTCTCGATCACGAATAAAAATATGCTCAGGAACAGAACCTCCATGAGAGGCTTGGTGACTTTGTTGTTGGAGAAGTTGTTGAATGATCATACTGTTATTAGTGATAACACGAGTTATCACTTCTTGTTTTTGGCGAAGAGTATTAATAATTAGCAAAATATCAACATCATCAGATGAGGAAGATGACGAATTGCCAAAATTAAAATTCATTGAAGAGTTTAGAAATGTGGGATAAGAGAAATATGATAGGATGTTTGAAGATATTGAAGTGTGTGATAATGAGCACATGTTATATATTTATGGTAGTGCATTTGAGAGGTGTGGGAATCTTTGCAGAAAGTGGTCATTTCGAGTCAAAATATTGAGGGACATGAGGGTCTTTGCAATGAGTGGTTATTTTCAGGCTAGAACCTGAAGAAGTGTGGGGCCTTTGCAGGGAGTGGTCATTTCATGTCAAAGCATTGAGATACGTGAGGTTTTTGCAGAGAATGGTCATCTTCTGGTCAAAATATGGAGAATTGTGAGAGGCTTTGGTTATTTTCGGGTCAGAACATGGAGAGTGAAAACCTTTGCAGAGAGTACTCATTTTGGATCAAAACAATGAGAGTCGTGAGGGTTTTTGCAGAAAGTGGTCATTTTTGGGTCACAACCCAGAAAAGTGTGGAAAATCCTTGCAGAGAGTGGTTATTTTCGGGTCAGAATATAGAGAAGTCTGAGAACCTGTGCGGAGAGTGGTCATGTCGGGTCAAAGGATTGAAAGACGTGAGTCTTTGCCGAAAATGTTCATTTAGGGGTCAGAACATGGAAAAGAGTGAGAACATTTGCAGATAGTAGTCATTTTCGGGTCTGAACACAGAGAAGTGTGCAAACTTTTGCAGAGATCTTTTCGAGGAGAAGTGTGATAAAGGGCAAGATTGGAATATTATAAGTTTGCATGTGTTGGAATATTATTAAAAATAATTTAGGCTTGATTGAAATTTGTTAAAGTGATAAAGGGCCAGATTGAAATTTGCCAAAGTAGAAACGCATAATTTGCGTCCGGCGAGGTGAGACAGGGCTGTAAAACCTATTTTGCAGTTGAGTTTGTAGCTTGGTTGAAGAGAATTCAACTATAAATTTCGATTTTGCAATACAGAGAGTCTAAAAGTGCTAATAATATGCATGATAATGTAAAAGCCGAAGAGACAAAAATGAGATGTTTATTTTTATTTTTTATTTCTTTCCTTGGGCTATATTTGAATTGTAGTTCATTAATTCCTTAAAAGGCATCTCACAACTTTTTTTGTTACTTTGAGCCAATTGTATTTAGCGAAACACCAAAATAGTGTTTCAATGAAATTGGAACTAAAGGCTTTAAAGTACTCGGTTTTGCTATGAATCACCTGATACATTTACCAACAACTATTGGTTTTATTATAAATGAAAATAAATTTTTTAAAAAAAAAGGTAATACCGGCTTATACTCTAAAAATATTCAGTTTAAATATCGAAAAGTAATATCAAAATATAGTAATATATATATATATATATATATATATATATATATATATATACACACACACACACAAAATATCGTGATAAAAAAATAGAAAATATCAAAACAACAACAACAACAACAACAACAATAATAATAATAATAATAATAATAATAATAATAATAATAATAATAATAATAATAATAATAATAATAATAATAATAATAATACCGGATTGTGAAATTGTACAAGTAAAAATATTGGAAAGTATAGGTCAAACTGGAAAGTAGTACCAATTACTACCTCCTATTTTAATATTTGTCGTTTTGAGAAGTTGCACACTAAATAAGAATATTTTTTTTGTTAATAATAACCTTATTTAATGAAGATAGAGATAAATATTTTGAGAAAAAGTGAAGAGTGAATATGAAAAGACGTAATGTATTTATTGGCTAAATAAGGGTAATAATGGAAAAATATGTACAAAAGATCCAAAACGACATCTATTTGGCAAATAGTTGAAAAAGCTAGAATGACATTTAAAAAAAATAGGAGAGAATACTATATATTTATGTAAATAATAAACAGTGAACTTATGTTTCCATCAATTGACAAATAAACATAAAATGTATTGGAATGCAGTTGTGTTACCAGCTATTGGTTTGATATAAATAAATACAAAGTATAAGAAAATTATAATATTAGATTCTTTTTTTCTTTTTTTTTTTTTTACAAAGGGCAGAGACGTAGTCAACGCGAGCTGATGATTCGCGCTTACTAGGAATTCCTCAAAATTATAATATTGGATTATACTGAAGTTGTCCTGTAAAATCCAACACAATTACCAAAAAATTCATGTCAATTAAAAATAAAAATATGAATAAAAGAGAAGAGAAGTTAATTATTGGCTTAAAAAATTAAAATCTAAAATTGGTTATCTTTTATTGATCGTGTTAAAAAATGTAACTTAGGATGTGTATTCAGTTGGGATATTGAGTGACATTTAAAAGATTTTGAAATTTTTTAAGATTTTCGGAAGGAATCCTGTAAAATCTTACGTCTATATATGTGGGATTTGAGGTGAAATTTTGTATATTTTTTTTTAGAAACCCCACAAAGTCTTAAATCCTAAAAGGTCTTAACGAACCATCCCAACAAATCCTGAATCCTAAAAGGTCTTAACAAATCATAGCGAAATCCCAAATCCATAACGACTTTTAAAAATTGTGAGAAGTCTAAATTAATTACACCGGGATTTTTAAAATTTTAAACAATTTTTAGAAATCTAATTGAATATTAGTATAACTAACACAATACAATATTAAATTAAAACACCAATTGGAACAACTTTTTTTT